TGAATTACAGATGTTTTGTGCACTGCATTAGTAATTTAATGATTCAGTATACAACAAAAACAACTTTAGCTTTATCAATGCTTCTGAAGATTATGTTGTAATACAGCAAATAAGGTATAGATTTTTTAGACTGATTACTCGCAAACTCTATAGTCAGGTCACACAAACACAAATATTTCGCAATAAAATAGGCCAATAACCATCAGTTTTTGTTGTTTCATTTTTCCTGTGTGCAAAAAGTCAGAGTTTGTGAAACAGTATTGCTCTACCTTAAAAATTAGGTGTCTGTCTAATTGTAAAATAGCAGACTGCAAACAAAAAGTTTGACATTGTTTATATTTTTTAAAATACAAATGTTTCACCACAGTCAAGACTGCATCAAAGAAACAAAATGGCAGCTTCCTTTATCAGTGACACTGCCATCTAGTGGCCATAAAAGAGAGAGGGCCCTTGAGGAGACTGACAGGAAGTATAAAACTTTTGTTATAACAGTCAAATCATATATTATCCAAACAGCTCGCACTGAATAATTCACCCAACTTGATCACAGCAGTGGTAAAAAGATTAATTAACAGATTGCAAGGAATCTATCAGTTTATATTTAGTTGTAACATTACTATAAACTGTTTCATTTGCAATTTTCAAGATTTGTCAATTTGAGGGCTCATCGCCAATATAGGTACATGTACTATATTTACTCTATTAGAAGCACATCACAAATATAGGTACATGTACCATATTTTCTCTATTAGAAGCACATCCGTCCAATAGAGGTACATGTACCATATTTACTCTATTAGAAGCACATCTCCAATAGAGGATACATGTACCATATTTGCTCTATTAGAAGCACATCTCCAATAGAGATACATGTACCATATTTACTCTATTAGAAGCACATCTCCAATAGAGATACATGTACCAATATTTACTCTATTAGAAGCACATCTCCAATAGAGATACATGTACCATATTTTCTCTATTAGAAGCACATCTCCAATAGAGATACATATACTATATTTACTCTATTAGAAGCACATCTCCATTAGAGATATATGTACCATATTTTCTCTATTAGAAGCACATCTCCAATAGAGGTACATGTACTATATTTACTCTATTAGAAGCACATCTCCAATAGAGATACATGTACCATATTTTCTCTATTAGAAGCACATCTCCAATAGAGATACATGTACTATATTTACTCTATTAGAAGCACATCTCCAATATAGGTACATGTACCATATTTACTCTATTAGAAGCACATCTCCAATAGAGATACATGTACTATATTTACTCTATTAGAAGCACATCTCCAATAGAGGTACATGTGCCATATTTGCTCTATCAGATGTACATCTTAAATAGAGATACATGTACCATATTTGCTCTATCGAACAGCAACCTAACACTACATAATATGTTTTTGTTAACAGCCTGCATACAGCACAAGCTTCAAACTGAAACACTATAGCAGTTTGCATAGAAAGAAAAAATATAAAAAAAGCTTAAATAACAAGTTTTTGGCAGTTAAATAATAGCAGTCAAATAGA